CTCTCTCCCTTCTATCTATCTATCTATCTATCTATCTATCTATCTATCTATCTATCTATCTATCTATTCAATTGGTTCTGTTTTTCTGAAGAACCCAACTCATACACTAATTGCCCCCATTCTTTTGCTCATTTATTTCCTCTGGATTAGCACTTCTCAAACTATACTGTGCATGTAAAATACCTGGAAATCTTGTTCAAGTGCAGCCTCTGGGGCAGTAGGTGTTGGATTAAGATTCGGTGTTTCTAACAATCTCCTAGTTAATGCCCATGCTGCTGGTCGGTAGCCCAGACTTTGAGTAGCATGGATTTATATAACCAACTTTATCTTTTAAACTATATCACAATCTCAGTTATTCTCCTAAAACATAATCTGTAGTAACTGTAATACATTCCATCATAGGAGTTGACACAGTTTAGGTTAACCCACTTCTAATTATTAGAATTTAAATTTGGTATTATTTTTTCAGTATTATGGAACTTTGCAATGAACATCCTTGTATATAAATCTCCGTGTGTAGCATTATATCCTTAGGACAATTTTGCCGAAGAAATTCCAGGGCCAAATAGATACATTGTTCAGCCTTTAAAAACATATTTCCCGAAAGCTGTTTAGAAAAAAATGATCTAAGTATTTTGGTCCATTCAGGCTGTTATAACAAAATATAGATTGAGTAGCTTATAAACAACAGACATTTATTTCTCACCATTCTGGAGGCTGGAAAGTGCAAGGTCATGGTGCTGACAGATTCAGTGTCTGGTGAGGATCCACTCCTTGGTTCCTAGATAGCACCTTACCTCCTTACCTTACATAGTGGGTTACAGCGAGGGATCTCATTGGGCCTCTTTTATAAGGACATTATTCCCATCCACGAGGGTAGAGCCCAAAATTACCTCCCAAAGCTGTCCTGACGGTGCTGTCCTGATTGTTGCTGCTGGTGTTGGTGAATTTGAAGCAGGCATCTCCAAGAATGGGCAGACCCATGAACATGCCCGTCTGGCCTACACACTGGGTGTGAAACAGCTGATTGTTGGTGTTAACAAAATGGATTCCACTGAGCGACCCTAGAGCCAGGAAAGACATGGGGAAATTGTTAAAGAAGTCAGCACCTACATTAAGAAAATTGGCTACAACCCCGACACAGTAGCATTTGTGCCAATTTCTGGTTGAAATGGTGACAACATGCTTGAGCCAAATGCTAACATGCTTTGGTTCCAGGGATGGAAGTCACCCGTAAAGATGGCAATGCCGGTGGATCCACTCTGCTTGAAGTTCTGGATTGCATCCTGCCACCAACTCGTGCAAGTGACAAGCCCCTGCATCTGCCCCTCCAGGATGTCTACAAAATTGGTGGTATTGGTACTGTCCCTGTGGGCTGAGTGGAGACTGGTGTTCTTAAACCTGGCATGGTGGTCACCTTTGCTCCAGTCAATGTTACAACTGAAGTAAAGTTTGTTGAAATGCACCATGAAGTTTTGAATGAAGCTCTTCCTGGGGACGATGTGGACCTCAATGTCAAGAACATGTCTGACAAAGATGTTTGCTGTGACAATGTGGCTGGTGACAGCAAAAATGGCCCACCAATGGAAGCAGCTGGCTTCACAGCTCAGGTGATTATCCTGAACAACCCAGGCCAGATCAGTTCTGGATATGCACCTGTGCTGGATGGTCACATAGCTCATATTGCTTGCAAATTTGCTGAGTTGAAGGAGAAGATTTATTGTTGTTCTGGGAAAAAAGATGAAAGATGGCCTTAAGTTGTTGAAATCTGGTGATGCTGCCATCATTGATACGATTCCTGGCAATTCCATGTGTGTTGAGAGCTTCTCTGATACCCTCCTCTGAGCTGTTTTGCTGTTTGTGACATGAGACAGAGAGTTGCCTTGGTGTCATCAAAGGAATGGATAAGAAGGCAGCTGGAGCTGGCAAAGTCACCAAGTCTGTCCAGAAAGCTCAGGCTAAATGAATATTATCCCCAATACCTGCCACCCTAATTTTAGTCAGTGGTGGAAGAATGGTCTCAGGACCCTTTATCTCAATTGACTATTTAAGTTTAATAATAAAAGAGTGGTTAATGATTACAATGCATCCTAAAACCTTCAGGAAGAAAGGAGAATGTTTTGTGGACCATTTGTGTGTGTGTGTGTGTGTGTGTGTGTGGCAGTTTTTAAGTTACGTTTTAAAAATCAGTACTTTTTAATGGAAACAACCAAAAATCTGTCACAAAACTTTGAGACCCATTAAAACAAAGTTTAATGGGAGAAAATAAAAAGGAATAATGACCTAAATAGAAGAGCTAAAATGATAAAATTTAAAACAAAACACTGGAGGTAAATATTCATGACCTTGGATTTGGCAATGGCTTCTTAGCTAGAACACCAAAAGCACAAGCAACAACAAAAATAGATAAATTGAACTTTATCAAAATTAACAACTTGTATGTCAAAGGTTAGTACTTAAAAAGCAAACAATGGGAAAATATTTGCAAGTTATATAACTAAGTGTCTAGTATCCAGAATATATACAGAACTCTTACAACTCAACAACAAAAAGACAAATAATCCAATTTCAAATGGGCAAATGATTTGAATTAGACATTCCCCCAAAGAAGATATACAAATTACAAAAAGATGCTCAATATCATCAGTAATTAGGGGGCTGAATATAAAAATCACAATGAGGTACTATTTCAAACCCACCAGGAAATTAAAAAGAAAAAGGAAAATAAAGTGTTGGCAAAGATGTAGAGAAATTGGAACCCCCATAGATTGCTAGTGGAAATGTAAAATGGTGCAGGCACTGTGGAAAACATATTGGTGGTTCTTTAAGAAGTTAAACATAGAATTATCATGGAACCCAGTAATTCCACTCCTATAGATATAACCAAGAGAATTCAAAACTGGTACTCAAACAAATAGATGTACATGCATATTCATTGTGGCACCATTTAAAATATCCAAAAAATGGAAACAACCTAAATATCCATCAACAGACAAATGGATAAACAAAATGTGGTATATTCATACAATCTATATATATAAGAGCCTAAGTGACCGTTCAACCATTTGACCCATAGCTATGCCGTGCACTGACCACCAGGGGGCAGACGCTCAATGCACAGGCATGGAAACATGGAACAGACTGATGAATCTCAGAGGGAAGCGGGGAGAGAGGAGGGTGGGAAGAGGAGGGTGGGGAGAGGAGGGTGCGAATTCACGCACCAGTGGGGTCCCTCGGCCTGGCCTGTGGGGATCGGGCCGAAACCGGCAGTCCAACATCCCCCGAGGGGTCCCGGATTGTGAGAGGGTGCAGGCCAGGCCAAGGGACCCCACCGGTGCACGAATCCATGCACTGGGCCTCTAGTGTTATATAAACTCACTTATAGAAAAAATTTAGAATAGGTAAATTCATAGAGACAGAACACAACTTAGTGATTACCAGGGTCTGGGAGAAGGCAAGCATGGGAAGCAACTGCTTAATATGTACAGGATTTCCTTTTAGAACAGTGATTTTTAACCAATGAGTTGTAAGAATTTCTAAAACATGCAGTACCTCACTAGTTAGGGGCACTGACCTCTTTTCCCTTAGATTGTCAAATAAAAAAATGACAATAGCCAATACAACCATAGCAGTCCAGTGTGAATGAATCAAAATTATATCTATTTTTTTCATCAGATCAGCAAAAATATATTTTTTTGGTGTGCTGCAGAATTTTAGTAATTAATTTATGTATGCCATGAGATGAAAAAGGTTGAAAATATCTTGCTTTAGGGCGATAATATGTTCTGGAACTAGTTAGAGGTTGTGGTTGCACAAAATGATTAATGGTTAAATGGCTTATTTAAGTGATTAATTTTATGTTATGTGAATTTTACCTCAATTAATGAATATGTTAGCTAGACTTGTGATGATCATTTCACAATATATACATGTAAAATATTAAATAATAAAGAGAAAATTCAAATCTAGATTCTTTACCTGTATGCCTGGTTACCATTTTATGGTTACCATTAAAAAAATTTTTTTAAATTGATTTTTAGAGAGAGAGAGGAAGGGAGAGGGAGAGGGAGAGGGAGAGAGAGAGAGAGAGAGAGAGAGAGAGAGAGAGAAACATTAATGTGAGAGCAAAACATTAATCTGCTGCTCCTATATGCCCCCACCAGAGATTGAGTGCCCAACCCAGGCCTGTGCCCTGGCTGGGAATTGAACTGGCAATCATTTGCAGGGGGCGACGCCTAACCAACTGAGCCACATCAGCTAGCGCTGGTTTCCATTTTAAAACACAATAGCAAAACCATGACATACCTTTGTTTATTACTACCAAAGGGTTTTATTAGATTTCATTCTAATGGGTTCTCCCATTATTTCCACCTACTCTGTAAAATTCAGATTTCAGTCCAAGGCTTCAAAAACATTGCAAACAGCTGCACTGGAATCATGCATCTGATCATCAATGACATGCCAACTCTAACAGACAACTGTTTAAAAGTAAGTAGTTGGAAAGTACATTTTCTTCTCAGTCCCATTAGATGGGCACATTTTTTAGTGACTTGAATTACTAAAAATATGAATGGGCTTCTCATATTGGTTTTTTTTAATAGTAAGAAAATCATTTAAAATTTACGCACATACACATTTGAACATTTGAATCCTTAAATATCCTAAGAAACTTTGTTTTCACAGTTAGGATATTTTTGTTTCAGTGATATAGCCTAAGCATAAATTTTAAGTTTAGCTCTATCTGTGAAGCTTCTAAATGCAGTGATTTTTTTCAGCATTCTATTTTTTCATATTTTCCCATACTTTCATAACATGATTTAATTCTGATTCCTCTGCATTATTCTTATGTATGTATACTAAAATATATTGAAAAAAAAGTCCTGTTTTCTTTGAAAAAATGAAAATTTAATGGCTAATGTGTTTCTGGAAATATTTAGGAAAAACATGACCTCATTACTTCATTAAACTTGTGCTGTTGCTAATTTAATAATCTCTTTTCTTCTAAAGGCTTTAGTTGAGCATTGTCTTCGTATTACATCAGTGGTTTTCATTGGTTCGCCACATATCTCCGATCTTGCTTTCAAAGTCCTCTCTAAATGTAACCTCAGAAAGATCCGATTTGAAGGTCTGTAATATTGAAAATGTGGTTCAGCACTAACTTTTACTCTTGTGGCAATTTAAATACAGTACTTATCTTTTCTTCTGTGTTTTTTAAACAGGAAATAAAAGAATTACTGATTCATGCTTCAAACATATAGACAAGCATTATCCAAACATTAGTCACATTTACATGGCGAACTGCAAGGGAATAACGGATAGTAGCCTCAAGTCACTCTCACCTTTGAAGCAACTTAGTGTGTTGAATTTGGCAAATTGTATAAGGTAATGAGTCACTTAGTCATATATTCAAGAAACACTGAAACTCGGGATTGTGCCAGGCTTCTTTAAAGAGCTCATTGGTCGTAAACATGAAAGTCAGGAGTCCAAGTAGAGGCTGTGGTAACACAAAGGAGGGGTACCCAATCCAGACTGGTTATATGGGGGTGCAGGGAGATTCTCAGGGAAAGCTCAGGATATGTGGAATCACAGGCCCTTCTAAAATTAAATGAATTCATAGAAAGACTTATGGACTATCTTTCCTAGTGAGTGTTCCCACAGCTGGTTCAGTTAACAGGTTTTTCCCAAATGGACTTTCAAACTTGCTTATGAGGAACCAATCTTGGGTACTGGTTAGATTTCTCCTGTGTGAATTTGCTGACAGATGGATAGATGGTGAGTTCTTACTAAAACACTGTTTTCAGTGAGACTACTATCGGGCTTCTATCCTGGTATTCTCAGGTGGGCAAGGATGAAATTCTTGCTGAAACCTCTTCACCGATGAATATCTCAGCTTCTTGCCTATGTAAGTTTCTTGTAATATTATTG